CCCCTCCCCCCTCCCCAGTCCCTCCAAAGCCTCCACAGGCTGCACAGGCAGTGCAGCCGAGGAAAAGCACCTTAGGTGAGTGAGTGTCAAACCCTTCTACTGTTTATCTTACAAATTAAGGCTATTAGCAGGTTAGTCCCGGCTATATATTTTTGCTCTTGGCCTTGAGCAGGTATTAATTCGCACATGTTTTCAATCCTGCTGCTGGTCACACAGCGCTGATGGCCTGTGGCGTGGGTGTTTTCAGTAAATCCCGGTCCCGGAGGCTAAATGAGTCAAAACCTCCCCGTGTGTGAGCGCGTTTGCATGCGGATTAGGCAGATTGGACCTAAGTTGTGGTAAATGGGGTTTATTTTCACTTCCGTATTGAATTTCAGTCTCTTTGCACAATTTCTCAATGTGATTTTGTTTGTGTTTATAGATTTTCCCCGACTACCGAACTCAGGAACTATTTAATGGGCCGTTAACTCTAGTTCTAAATACATTAGATTGCATTCAGCGTCATGACGATCTAAATGTATTTTCAGATGCTCGTCTGGTCTTATTTGGAGAGGCTACTGGCTCCATGGGAATATATTGTGCACGCTGGCTGCAGGGAATCGGTTACATAACTCTTAAACTTCTCCTGTTGGGCTAACTTTCTTTGGGTGAGGACATTTGAACTAAAAAAACGGAGAACAAGAAGAGGTGAGGATGTCACAAAAGGTGGGCGAGCGTAAAGCAGAGAGACACGTTGCCAGGAGGCTGTGTTTCGGGGTGAGTCTGATGCTGTAACAGTCGTTGGAGGGTGGGCCGGCGAGGTTTTTTCTCCACAGTAGACAGAAACTTAAGGTAGACCTGCTGCTAAACCTGTGGCTGTCAGTCACGCGGGCAGGAAGGATTACAGCGAACGCAGCTCAGAGCCGGTGGAACCAAAAGCAAACAAGCAGCCACAACCTCAGAGCTTTCCTTACATCCATTTAAAGCCAGCACGAGTAAATGTTCCCCTTTTATTATATTACTTATTGCAGAATTGAATCCATTCGGACTGTCTTTTACAAGGTTTTTAAACACTTAAAGACATCCATGAAATAGGAAGAAGCTCGTCTTAAATCTACCTATTTATTGTTTTTATGTATGAATAACATTAGAAGCCTGTAATTTGTACTTTATATGCAGTTATAAAGTCAGCTGGCAGATTAATGTTCCTGTGAATGTAACAGAGGTAAATTCAATGTGTCATCGGGATTTATTTCAATAATATATTTATCTATTTAGTTTGATATAAAAATAAATTACAGTTTAATTTATCAAAAATTCAGTTTAAACATTTTGTTTAAAATGAGGAATGAATGTTTTATTTCTCAAACATTAAAAATACTGAACACTATTTGTTCTGTTTATATACAAAAAAGTGACTCAACCAAATTTAAAAAGGGCTGAATCTTAAATCCGTAACTATAATTGATCAGTTCTTCTGCTTAATCTTGTAATCATGAATCCTAAATAGAGCTTGTGATTCAGTTTAATCCTGTTTCAGATGCAAATCTCTTTTTTAAAGTTAGCAGCTCCTGATCTGAAGAACCTCGGCCCATTAAAGCTTTGAAGTTTCCTTCAGCTCTCATTGTAAAATGAGCATTTTTAAAAGACCCCG